AAAAAATTATATCGTTGCCCACCACTAGTAATTGGCAAGCCCAAGAAAGGAACTTCGTATGCGGACATCATGCGCAGAGTCACGGCCGAGGTGAACCTTCAAAAGCTTGACATAAATGTCGAGAGAGCTAAAAAAACGGCAGCGGGCTGCGTCCTGCTCGCTGTCAAAGACAAAGAAAAAGCCAGGATTTTGACCAATCACCTACGCTCAGTGATCGGGAATGATGCCCCCGTATATACGCCAACTAGGACCACTCCAGTCATTGTCCTAGGTATCTCCGACTGGATGGACCAAGATCAAGTCATCTACGACATAAGAGCAGCTGTTCCGGATTTGAAGGACACCGAATCAACGTTAGAGATAACAGTGATGGGGGAAGAGTCGCCAGTTTCCGTATTCCAATGGAGATGGCAGCGAAGCTCGACGAAAGAAAACATCTACGCATAGGATGGAATCGATGTCGGGTTAAACTCCTTGAACCAAAAAGACCTCTGTGTTTCCGATGCAAATTACTAGGCCATTTCAAGAGTGACTGTAAAGTCATCGATGTGGTTCAGAAATGTTACCACTGCCATCAGCCAGGACATCAAGTCGCTGATTGCAGAAGTAAAGTAGCTTCTACCAAGCAGAGGGAAGACGGAACATGTTAAGTAACATGTTACTTCCGTACAGTAAACGCCTCCTAATGATTGAATTTTTACAAGTTAACCTGAACCTAACCTGTAGGGTGGCACATGACCTGCTACGTCAGTACGTAGCCGAGCATGGGGTAGATGTGGTCCTATTAAGCGAACCATATTCCACTTCAACCGACCACAGCTCGTGGATAGTTTCTAATGTAACCAGAAGGGCAGCAATCTGGATTACAGGTACAGGAATCGTGGCCTCGCACACATACAGTGACCCGGAGTTCGTGTCTGCTCGACTGAATGGTGTGCAAATATTTTGCTGCTACGCTTCGCCCAACAAGTCGCAGGCAGACTTTGACAATCTCCTATAGAGACTAGAAAACAAGATTAGGGCGACCGACCGCCAAGTCCCGGTAGTAATAGCTGGAGACTTTAATGCCAGATCTGCTGTGTGGGGGGACAGGATTACCAACGATAGAGGTGAACATCTCGCTGCACTGCTATCTTCGTTCTCGTTGGTCATCATCAATTCTAGTTCGACCCCGACATTTACCAGAGGGGCAGGATCCATCGTGGATATCAGCGCAGTATCGGAGTCCTTTTGTCGACGTATCAACCGTTGGGCGGTCATGAAAGACTTTTATTTCAATAAATGTGATCACCACTATATTAAATTTCTGCTCGACGCCGAGCGCGGCCAGTCGACAGCAGCTAGGCCATTGCCTATGGGATGGGACACCTCCAGGGGAATTTCCGTGGATTCGTTCCAGGTAGGGCTACTTCTGTGTGAGTGGATTGCAAACCCGCGCGCCATAAACGAAGAGGATGCCGATTATATCGTTAGGGACATGGAGGCAAAGATAATATTAGCATGTGACTATGCCCTCCCTAAGCGACGGATTCCAAAGCCCGGGAAACCCTCTGTCTACTGGTGGAATGATGAGGTAGCCACAAAGCGTCGAGCCTGCATCGCTGCGCAGAGAACCCATTCTAGAGTGAAATCACGGATAGCACGGCTGCGTCAGCGTGCAGCCGAATATGCTACATTGTAGAATCGCCCTACAGGGGACACCGATTCAAATCTTATCGAAAATGCTCTATCTAGGCATTGTGGTGGACAAGACATTGTTGTACAAGGAGCACATAAAAAAAGCGGCAGAGAAGGCGGACAGAATTGGTGGACAACTCGTCCGGATCATGCCCAATGTAGGGGGGCCTAAAGAATTAAGATGTCGTCTGCTGTCTTCAGTGGTGCACTCCGGGCTGCTATATGGCGCACCATCATGGGCGGACACGTTAGATTACGTCCCAAAAAATGCCAAAATACTTAACCAAGCTCAGCGGAAGGTATTGCTATGCCACATCCGCGCATATCGAACGGTGTCTGAGGTGGCAACCAACATTCTGTCATCCACCCCCCTGGCAGACATCATTGCGAGGGACAGGGAAATGGCCTTCGTACGGAGGCGCATACAACCGGACGTGGAGGTCAAGACGTCGGCAAGAGCGAATGCCCCGTCTAGAAACGAAATAATGCTACGGAGCTGGAAAAACAGAATAGAAACAGCCGAAACGGGAGCATGGACCAGGACACTGGTTCGCGACATTGGGTCTTGGTGCAACCGAGAACACGGTCAAATGATGTTCCATATGACCCAGATGATGTCCGGCCATAGATGCTTTAGCCATTATCTACATCGGATCGGTAAAGAAAACTCCGATGCTTGCCACCATTGCATTGATGGTTTGGATGATGCTAGGCACACGCTGCTCGAATGCGATGCCTGGGAGTCTGAAAGAAGCACCCTGTCAAGAAGTCTTGGAGGTCCAATCCGAACAAACTCTTGTAGACAACATGATTGCGGATGAATCCAAATGGGCAGCCTTCAGAGAGTTTTGTCATACAGTTATGGTTGCCAAAGAGACCGCTGAGAGAATCCGAAGAGGAGAACAACAACCTGTTAGTTAAGCTAACAATTGTGGGCCGAATGCCAAACTCGAACCGAACCGTTGTAATAAAAGTTGTAATGGCAAGTAGCAGGGCATGTCCTCCTACAATCCCAACTAGAATTGTATGATTTTTTCTTTTTTAAATAAACGATGTTGGCGAGCTGACGAAATACCACCGGTACTCCCGCCGGCCGCCAACGATTTCGAAAAAAAAAAAAAAAAGTTAATTACCTGGCAAACGTATTTAAAAAAATATGCGAAGCCACAATAAAAAAACGTATGGGAGGACATCAAAAAACGGTGTACTGGTGGACAAGAGAAATAGCAGAGCTACGAAAAACCAGTAACCACTTAAGGAGAAAATACCAGCGCAAAAGGAGAAGAGAAGGAGCTGAAGCGTGCACGGTCGAAAAAATGCAAGCCAAAGCATCAAAACACCAGCTGGTGAAAGCGATCAAACAGTCAAAGGAACGTTGTTGGAAGTCACTCTGCAATCAGGTGGAAAACGACCCATGGGGCTTACCATATCTGTTAGTTATGGGAAAACTGTTTATAAACCCGCCAATACCAGAAATAGAATCACCAGGAAGGATAGATAGTATTGTAGAGGGTCTCTTCCCAAAACACCCACCCAGGCTCCAAAATGCACATAGTACTAAAACCCAAATCATACAGATAACTAGGAAAGAGCTGCTCAAAGCAAAAAACGCTCTCCCAAACAACAAAGCCCCCGGACCCGACGGAGTCCCGAACGAGATACTGAAAAAAATAACAAAACTCATACCCGTAATATTCCTTGAAGCGTTCAAGCCTCAACCAAGACTGCTTTCCCACCCAGTGGAAAAATGCAAGACTATTACTAATAAGAAAAGGAGAAAAACTACTGGAAAACCCCTCATCATACAGGCCACTATGCATGATCAATACCACAAGAAAACTTCTAGAAAAAATCTTAGACAACAGACTGAGAGAATTCTTAGAAGAAACAGGCGGGCTTACCCACTCCCAATACGGATTCCGCAAAGGAAAGTCAACTATCGACGCACTGAACAAGCTAAATGACATCGTTAAGAATAAAGGAAGAAAAAACTACGCTGGAATGCTTACCATAGATATTAAAAATGCCTTAAACTCTACACCTTGGGGCAGAATATTAGAATCCTTGTCAAAATAGAGCATACCTTCATACCTTTGCCGTATAATTGAAAGCTACTTTTCAGATAGACAACTAAACTACAGGACAGGAGTAGGAGAAAAGACCATAGAACTGACAAGCGGAGTACCACAGGGCTCGGTCCTTGGACCAACAATGTGGAACCTATTGTACGATGGACTGCTAAGAGAAACCATGCCAACAGGAGTCGAAGTACTAGCATTTGCAGACGACTTGGCATTAGTTGCAACAGCAAGAGAAATATCTACTGTCAAACAACTACTAGAAGCGGCTGCTGAAATCACGATACTGTGGCTTCAAGAGGTAGGTTTAGAAGTAGCAATCGAAAAATCTGAGGCTATAGTGTTTACAAACCGCAGGACGCGGAACACTCTTGCAATATCACTAAGAGGGATCAGGATAGAATCTAAAAAAAGTATTAAGTACCTCGGAGTCCACTTAGATCCCAAACTACTCAGAACACGCAAAACTAGCAGCCGTCAAAGCAACAACAACGACTAGAAGTTTGGGACGCATTATGCCTAACATAGGAGCGTTTAAACGAGGAAGAGAAAACTTTTAGTAACTATCTTAACTTCGCAAACACTATACGGATGCCAAGTATGGGCCGACAAAATGTCCCTTGGAGGATGGAAAAATCTCAAAAAAAGCCAAAGAAGCATAATGCTTAGAGTAACATCGGCATATAGAACAGTTGCAAGTGACGCCCTCAACATACTATCAGGAATCCCCCCCATAGACCTACAAGCTATGGAGAGAATGCAAAACTATAAGGTTGGAAAAGAAGGAAGAAAAATTACAGAAGCTAGAGAAATATCCAAGCGAGAACTCCAAGCAAATTGGCAAGACAGATGGCAGACTAAAGGAAAAGGAGAATGGACAAAGAAAATAATTCCGGAAATCCTCAACTGGCTAAACCGCAAGCATGGTAAAGTAAACTACCACGTAACACAAGTACATAATGGACATGGATGTTTTGCTTCCTATCTACATAAGTACGGAAAATTGGAGTCGCCAGAATGTTGGTTCTGTGGTCAAGGGGAAGACAACGTACACCATACGCTGTTTGTCTGTGACGCATTCGAATCCAGACGCAGAGAATTGAGGCATCGAATTGGCGTAGACGACATCAACGAAAACAATCTAATTGAACTGATGGTGAAATCAAAAGAAGGAACCCGAGAAAAGGAGACAATCAATGCCGATGCAATTTTAATAAACGCAATGAAAACTTTATATATGAAATTATTATAGGCAAACTGCCTAAATAGAGAGGATAGAGCCTCTCAAAATATTGTTAAGTGAATTGTAAGAGTGCAGCCTAGGGGGATTGTCCCAAAGCTGACTCATCATCAGATGATTCATGTATTTCTACAAAATAAACGAGGGCAACTAAGGGGTGAAATGAGGGAACTCTGTACCACCCTTAGTTATCATTTACCAATGTAAAAAAAAAAAAAAGATTATTAGGTTAGGTTAGAGGGGTTAGGTTCCCGGTCGGGGCATGAGCATGCCGCCGGGCGCGTCCCCAGGTTGCGGATAGGGGAACGCCCTGCAGATATGTAAGGTAGCCGCGAAATAAGCCGATATTTCGGGTTTGGACGAATAAGCGGTCGCGGAAAAGCTCACCACCGGAGGAACGATCAACCCCCGGTGTCATGGAGGATCAGACAAACCCACCAAGCAAAAAGACAGACGACGCGAGGCTGGCGTCGGTAGTGAACGAAAAGCCACACATACAAAATGATGAACACACCTAACGATACCGAGTCTCGTCGTGGGGCCCTCCTACAGGGAGGGGTCGGACCCCACGGGACAGCAACTGGGGGTGGGCACACCCCAGGGGTCGCATCAACAAGTCCGAACCCAATTGAGGAGGTATCCAGCATGGCCTCCTCAGTTGGTAACGCAACAGCTGAGACAGCCGTGTCTACGGACACGCAACGGACCCAGGCTCAACATGGAGGAGAAAAGTCACGGACTCTTGAGAAGAGGCTGTTGGCTTCCTCAACCACAAACCAACCTACACAACATGAAGCCACTATGGAAGAAGCAAACATACGCTTCTTAAAGTATCTCCAATAGACCTACAATGTGTCAAAGACTCTGGATGAGGAAGTCGCCGCCGCCTCAAACACCAAGAGGGAGATAAAAACTCTCATAACACAGCTAACTAACTCTGCCAGAGGACTTATACAATGGGGCAGACACACGGGCAAAGTATCAGCCAACACCTCGAATAGAGGCACTCAAACAGATCAGGAACCCCCTGAACTCCTCCCCACAACCAAAGAACACCCAAAGACCACAGAGGCGTTGCCAGGTTCCCATATAACAAAGGCTACAAGCGCAAGGTCGACCCTGGAAAACTTGGTTCCCTCACTAGACCACTCCCGCTTTGAGATCCCCGCTGCTATAAAGGCACTCCACCAAATGGTGTAAACCTAGGGCGAAGTCATAGCAAAGCTGGTCAAAAAGATAGACAAACAACCAGAAAAACCGCGGCAACAGCGCCAGATGAAACCGTCCTTGAGACAAGAAGAGCAGATCGAGCAGCACCAACAACAACCACTGACAGATGCCCAAGACCCTCCCTAAGCGACCACGCCGATAATTGGGAGACAGTCTCGCGAAAGACCAAGAAAAGAAAACGCAGAGAACCAACAACTCGGAGCAGACCTGACACTATCATCGTAAAGGCAGACAACATGTCGTACGCAGACATGCTGAAAAAGATAAGAACGAGCCGCGACATGGAGGGAGTTGGTGGTACCATACACTCAATCACCAAAACAAGAGACGGCCACCTTAGACTAGTACTTAACCGAGACTCGGTAAAATTCAAAAATCTGCAGACAGCTATCAAAACTACCATCGGCAATGAAGTCAGCTGCACTAGATTAACTGACATGGCAACAGTAGAAATCAGAGATGCAGATGAAGAGGCAACAAACGAGGAAATTATACAAGCACTGGAAGCACATACTAAGGGCCAAGGAACCGCCAGAGTGGTCAGTAAGAGAAGGACAAATGGTGGTACCCTAGTTATCACCGTCACAATACCTACGACTGCGATGAACTCGCTCCTGAAAACCCGCCTCAGAATTGGTTTCGTGAACTGCAGAGTTAAGCGTATGGTAGACGTCCAAAAGTGTTTCCGGTGCCAAGGGTTCGGCCACACAAGGCAGACCTGCACAAATGATGAACAATCCGACCACTGTTGGAAGTGCGGTGAGGAAGGGCACAAGAGCTCAGATTGCGTCGGAAAGGCTAGCTGTCTCCTCTGCAAGGAGGATGAATCAAGAGACCACCGCTTAGGCAGCTATAAATGCCACGTGTTCAAACGCGCACTGGAGACGACAAAACAAAGAAAATGACGTCTTTTCTCCAGATAAACCTGCACTGCTCCAAACAGCGCAAGACCTCCTACACTAAGTAGGTATTGAAGAGGCATCTGACTACATACTCATCACTGAGCCCCATCACATAGAGACTAACTGGCACAGTGACTTCTCAAACAAAGCTGCGATAATAAATGCCAAACAAACAAGTGTTGACCAAATAGGGGCGAAGGAACAGGGTTTCTGCTGGATACAATCTGGAGGCTTCCGACTGTACTCTTGTTATTGCTCCCCTAACTCGATCCATCTTGAATACAAAGACTTCATACTGAGACTTGAACAAAGCATCAGGTCAGCAAACTCCCAAGTGCTGGTAACGGGTGACTTTAATGCCCACCACACAGACTGGGGCAGCAGCTCGAACAACAGGAGAGGTGAATCTCTGGAAGACTCTGTATGTGCACTAGGATTAATAATCTGCAACTCAGGCAACACTCCTACTTTCTACAATCGAATCGGATCATCGATAATAGACCTTACGATTGCCTCCCCATCTTTGGTTAACAAAATTGCCAGATGGGAAGTCCTGGACACGATCTCACTTAGCGACCACCGGTACATCAGGTTCAAAATCCAAAATCAACCATCAACCATCTCCAAGAATCCCCCACAATGGAACTCCCGCATAGTAGAAGCAAAGAAGCTGGAAGCGACCCTCAGGGAAGCGACACCGGACTTGGACACGACCGATTGTGGAACAGAAGAGAATGCTAGACTACTCACATCCAATATCCAGAAAACCTGCAAAGGCATATCTCCGCCGCCTAGAGGTAGCCATCGAAAATCGGTATACTGGTGGTCTCCCGAAATTGGCTCCCTTCGTAAGACAGCAAACCACTTGCGCTGAGTCTACCAACGCAAGAAGAAAAGATTAGGACCTCAGTCATGCTTCGAAGAAGAAGCATTCGTAAAGGAGGCGAAACGGATACAAGAATATAGCAGCACACTAGAAGCGAAAAACGCGGCCATACAGATCGAAGAAATGAAAACGGCAGCCCGCTCACTAAAGAGTAACACTGCCCCCGGCCCAGACGGCATTACAAACGATGTGCTAAAATGCTACATCCGACGCAAACCAGACATCCTAGTAAAAGTATATAATAAGTGCCTGAAAGAGGGCCATTTCCCCACGGCATGGAAAACGTCCAGGCTGGTACTCATTAAAAAAGGAGACAAAAAACTGGACAAACCGTCTTCATACAGGCCTCTGTGCATCCTCGACTGCCTTGGAAAACTGTTGGAGAAGATCATAGACAACCTACTCGATTCGAACAATGGTCTGGACGAAAGGCAGTTTGGCTTCTACAAAGACCAATCCACCACGGATGCAGTTCACACTCCGAACGATTTCTGAAGCAAGCAGTCCCAGACACAAAATAGGAGTACTAACGCTGGACATAAAAAATGCCTTTAACTCGGCACCATGGGCAGCCATTCTAAAGGCACTACAAGAGAAGTCTATCCCAAGCTACATTTGCCGGATCATAGGAAGCTACCTGGAAAACCGAACGCTACTGCTCAGACTTGACGTTAAACAGAATGCACAACCTATATCTAGCGGAGTGCCTCAAGGCTCCGTCTTGGGTCCTACGCTGTGGAACGTGCTGTATGACGGTCTCCTGAGAAACAGCCTCCCAGATGGGGTGTCTTTCCTCGCGTTCGCGGACGACGTAGCGCTAGTCGCAGTCGCAAAAGACTCCATACTACTAGGGACCGCCCTCTCTAAAGCAGCTGAGATAACAAGAAATTGGCTTACTGACATTGGTCTACAGCTAGCAATCCACAAATCAGAGGCACTCATTGTTCGGTACTTCAAGGGTAAAGTGGACTGTATTTGCTTTAAATCAATTAGGATAAGTTTTTGGTAGAATCGTATCAAAATTAATAAATAACACGATTTGTTATGATTCAAAAGAGCCGGGCTGCGGCCTAATATTTTAACAAAATCAAAACAGAAAGTAAATAAATGTAGAGGGCACATTAGGTGCTGGCCAGCAGAAGGGGTATTAAATTGATATTACGGCTAACACAATAAATAATAAATAATACAAATAAATATATATAAAAACTGTGACGGCGGCTGCAGTCCCGGGTGACGGTGAGTAGTGGACAGGTGAACCATATACAGGTGATGATAGACGGTAACGATAGACGGTAACGGTACTACGGTAGAGAGTGAACGGTAAAATCTCGCGTACGATTCCCATCGACCTCATGGCCCAAGAGCGACGCAGGGCGTTTGAGGCCAAGAGGGCGTTAAGACCGACGGCGACTGCAGAACACCCTGTAGAAGAGGACACTACAGCATCCGCGGCGCTGCCGACCGGAGCTCGCGACCTGCGGGATCGGACGGTGGCAGAGTGGGTCAGGAGGTATCAGCGTACGGATACACCTGCGGACAGCAGACGCGAGTGGACACTAGACCCCCCCCCACTTGACCCATTGACCGGCCGCACGGGGAGATGGCGTTTCGCCTCACCCAGCTCATGACGGGGCACGGCTGTTTCAACCGGTTCCTCCACCGGATCGTTCGTAGAGCAGGCCGTTCGCGCGAGTGGACGTCGATTACGCCGGCCCTCTTCAAATGCACGAAACGCGTCTCCGAAAATCGCGCATATATAAAGTCTACATCGCCGTATTTGTATGCTTTTCAATTAAAGTAGTACACCTGGAAGTAGTCACCGGATTGTCAACCGAAGCGTTTCTCGTGGCGTTCGACAGGTTTGTCGCGCGACGAGGTCTTTCTTCAGATATATTCTCGGACTGCGGCACGAATTTTATCGGTGCAGACAAACAACTGCAATATTTAATCAATAGTCCGGACGGTCAACGCGCAGTCACTCAAGCGCGCACCTCGTGTCAATGGCACTTCAACCCCCCCAGCGCGCCACACTTCGGTGGGCTCTGGGAAGCCGCGGTTAGGTCAACAAAACGTATTTTAATTCGTACCATGGGTACCCATATTCTCACGTACGAAGAATTTTCTACACTACTCACTCGCGTCGAAGCAGTGTTGAATTCGAGACCGTTAACGCCAATGTCCACAGACCCGACTGATCTCGAATATCTGTCTCCCGGTCATTTTCTGATCGGGCAACCAATGTTGGCTGTTCCGTCGCGAGTGGTAATCGAATCACGCGTCACTTTGGTCCAACGCTGGAAATTGCTCGACCAGTGCCATCAGGCGTTTTGGCGGCGATGGTCAACTGAATACTTGACGTCGCCTCAGGGGAGGTCAAAATGGACTACTGAAGCTCCCAACGTCCGAAGCAACGACATGGTTGTAATCATAGACAGTCAATCTCCACCACTAACATGGCGCCTCGGACGCATTATCGAATTGTTACCCGACCATGATGGCGTAGTACGCGTCGTGCGATTGTTGACGCAACAAGGCCACATCACTCGTCCAGTCGCGAAAGTAGTAGTACTACCTACTCAGTAATATCTTGTTCTATATAGTCCCCAGCACTCGTTAATTGAATTTCCACTCCATAACGCTCTTTTCGAGTGGCTCGTGTCACTGTATTCGAGATATTTATTTATTTTAATTATTAATGCAACGTCTATTAAAGTCCTACGTATATATTTCGTGTTTACACCAGATGTGTTATTTGATAATTATTTTTTTTATATAATCCTGTATTGTCATAAATTGTGTATTCTGTATTCTCTTGTAAAAATGATAATTCACGTCACCCGGACATCCTTCACCTCAAGTCATCGCTTGAAGCCAAGCAACCTGATCCGAGTAACCACGATGGAAGCCGGAGCCTCCCATGGGGGGAGGATGTTCGCGCCCTACATCATTTTCGCGCCGAAATTGCAAACGGCCAGTGACCGCTTTGCGATTACATCGCGGTACTGGCTCAGCGAGCTTCGATACCCGCCGCCGCCGCCCGTTGCACAAAAAAACCGGAACGCGCCCCGCGTACCCCATTCGCCCTCACCGCTTATCGCTTTTCACGCCGACCGTTACAGCAGCCGTGTGTACGAAACGTTTTTTCTTGCTCTTCGTCACTGTCTTTTTGTCAGCCATTGCAACGTGTGGTCGTCGCTATTTTTTCGCGTTCATCTCGAACGCCACACAACCATACCGCGTAGTTAAAGGTTCGTGAGTGCGTTATTCACGCGTTGTGTCATCGAGGGCGATTCGTGTACTCCTGTGCCGATCCCGCGATCACCGATATCGCCGCCGTTTATTTTCGATTGGGGATTTCCAACATCGGTCACATTCATCGCTGTTGCGTCGTTCATTCTTCGAAGCTGTTTGGCGATTATCAATTATTATTATATCATATTATTATTATTATTATTATCAGTTGTTGTTACATGATTTTTTATTATTATTTTCACTTCTTATTATATTTGTGAGTATATTATTATTTACCTCCCTCTTATGGGCGCCCGTCCACATACACTTGTATTTTAATATTGTGTATTTTAATAGTACGCGACGCTGTTGGCTCGCATTATAATTTCAATACGTGTTCTTTTATTCTTTCATGTACGTAAACACTATATATACGAAGGTCACCGTCATTCTCCCAAAAACCAGACCGCGAGTCGGACTGATCATCCGCCACCATTGTAGGGACTACTTCGGCGTAAACAGGTGGTCTCCTGAGATCGCCGCTCTACGTAAGGCCAGCTGCGCTGCGCGGCGAGCCTACCAGCGGGCGGAACGCAGGGCTTCTGATTCCGGGTTAGACCTTAAGCGAACTGCTATGGCTTCTGCGCGCAAGAACCTCAGGGCCGCCATTAAGAAGGCCCAGGCAAACTCCTGGACTCAACTCTGCTCGGCCGTTGATGAGGACCCCTGGGGCCTCCCCTACAGGTTGGTCATGAAGAAAGTGGTGATGAGGGTGCCAATTGAACCGGAGCGCGAGAAGTGTCTGGCAGCTGCTCTCTTACCTTTTGACCGGACAGTCGATTGGGCGAGTTCACCCAGCCTGGACGATGCGGTTGACCCCGAACTCTTCACGTTGAATGAACTTCGCTTGACAGCCTCTAGGCTGCCTGGAAGGAAGGCATCCGGGCCGGATCTTATCCCCAACGAGGTAGTTGCGGTCGCGATCAAGACAAGGCCAGGATTGATACTTGAACTGTTCAATAAGTGCCTTAGCTCTGGAGTGTTTCCGGCTAGATGGATGGTGGCCAGACTCGTCTGGTAAGCAAAGGCAAAGACAAGCCACCCGGCGATCCCACGATCTACAGACCGTTGTCACTCCTGGACAGCACTGGAAAGGTGCTCGATCGCATGCTCCTGAGAAGGATCGACGACCACCTATCCCGTAGCCACGGCCTATGTGACTGGCAGTTCGGCTTCAGGAGGGGTCGCTCCACTGTAGATGCGCTGAAGAAGGTGACGGAACTAGCGGTTGAGGAAGCGGGAGTTTCCAGCCTACCTTACCAGGATCCTGCGCTCCTACCTGTGCACAGGCGTCTGATTGTTGCTCACGATTCCGAGAGCCCGGTGGAGATCCAGGTTTCCTGCGGTGTTCCACAGGGATCGGTGATCGGCCCAGCTTTGTGGAATATTTTCTATGACGACTTACTACGTCTTTCGGTTCCACCGGGCGTTAGACTTGTCTGCTTTGCCAACGACGTGGCCGTCGTGGTGACTGCCCACAACGCTAACGACGTGGCAGTTGTGGTGACTGCCCACAACGCCGACTCAACCCTGGAGCTCATCCACTGTTGGATGACAGACAATGGTCTCAGGCTTTCACCAGCCAAGTCAGAGGCGCTGATCCTGACGAGGAAATGGGCATATCGATCCCCTGCCTTCCTCCTAGATGGCATAACCATACCGGTGAAACCCATCATGAAATATCTAGGAGTGCATTTTGACACGCGGCTGACCTTCTCGGAGCACGTCAGACGAGCAGCGACAGGTGCGCGGGCACTATCGGCGAGGATGACAGACTAATGACAAACATAGGTGGCCCTTCAACTAACAGTCGCCAGTTGCTGCAATCGATGACCCAGAGTAAACTGCTGTATGCTGCTCTAATTATTTGTATTTGCGTGCCGTGTGGCCGTAGATTTTTTATTATATTTATTTTATAGTGTTTATTTATATATTTATTGTTGTGCCGCTGTAGGGCCAACACTTATTATTATTATTATTTTTTTTTATTATTTGGTGTGTGCCGTGTGGACCACACATTATTTATATTAGTTAGTTTGTTTTTTATTATAATTCCATATACCACATATTTGGTCTTTATTATTTAATTGTTTTTTTTTTTTGATAGTGTTATAGGTCGGTAGTGCTGCACGTTTGGTGGCCTACTGCCCTGTCGTGAAGGCACCCTTATGTATTTTTATATAAGTGCTGAGCGCGACATGTAGGGAGCACATAATGCAAGCACAGAGGGCAGCAGCCATACGCATCATCCGGTCTTATCGGACCGTCTCCGATGTGGCTGCCTTGGTGTTGGCTAGGATGCCTCCGACGCACCTCCTCGCTACCGAGCGCCTAAGGATTGCCGAAGCTAGGCAGCGCCTCCCTACCATTGGTGTCAGCGATCTCCAGAGAAGGGAACGTATGGAGACATTAAGACGGTGGCAATGCCTGTGGGAATCGTCGCCAAAGTCCAGCTGGACCAGGAAGCTGATTCCTGACGTCAGTCGATGGTACTACTCTGCCCAGAAGGTAGTCGACTTCCACCTCGCCCAAGCGCTCACTGATCACGGCTGTTTTCAGTCATATCTGCATCGAAGGAAGAGAGCTGCTGATCCGACTTGCTGTCACTGTTGGGCCGCAGAAGATACCGCGGAGCATACACTGTTCGTTTGTCCCTGGTGGTCCTTGGACAGGGAGCCGCTGAGATTGGTTCTCCGTCGTCCTCTGATGGCCTCAGACGTTGAGGACCTACTCTGTGGCCCACGTCATGAAGATTTACCAAGCGAGGTTGAACAGAGGAATGCATTATTCGCCAGGCGAACAATAACCGGATGCTGTTGGTGACCACATTCCAGTCCATCATGAAGCAGAAGGAGTCTGAGGAGAGGAGTCGTCAAGCGATGGAGATACCGGCCCGGTGACTCGATGGTCAATCCAGGACGGATATCGCACGCCTTCATGCCTGGCGGAAGTGCCACCGCCTAGCCGTCCTGTTCTTTTCGATGGCACCATGGGCGGGACGACGATCACGGCAGCACACCATCGGTCCGATGCAATCGCGAATCATATTGAAGCGCGGTCGCGGTCAACCTCGAGCGGCAAATTTTCATTGTTTATTATTATTATTATTATCTTTTGCGCGATGCATCTCGAGGTCGGCCACTATGTATAATTAACATGTTTTGTTTTGTTGAATAAATGATGGGAGCCGGGCGGCAGTATTGTGTCAAACAGTTCCCGCCCGGTTGTCGGTTATAAAAAAAAAAAAAGGCCCTAACCGGCCATGAGTGTTTTCAGAGGTACCTGTAGTCGAGGGAAAGATCAAACAGCCCAGCCTGTGTTCTATGACCGTCGGAGTCCGACGACGCCGAACACACGTTATTTGTTTGTGTATTCTAGATCGGCGAGAGGAGAGAACTCGAGGAATCGTTGGGCAGGCCTGTAGTTCCTGAAGACATTTTGAGCATTCTCTGTGGACCACTGCCGGCAGAACATACAGACGACCCACATATAAGGAGGAGAATCATTTCTGCAAACAACAGAAGGAAGGTGCTGCTTAGTCAGATGATTGACAAAATTATGGGCATCAAGGAGGAGATGGAAAGAGAGAGACAGCGGGCTGCATAGCGAAGCAAAAAAAAAAAAAAACGTAGTTATGAACAATTGATGTGGACCGAACGGCCAAATCAGGGTGGTTAGAGGCCCCCACATGTTGTACAACTATATTATTGATGTAATTGCAATTGTATGTACCATGATTTTTTTAATTAATAAATGATGCTAGCGGGGAGGCAGCTATGGGGAAACCTAATTTCCTCCCCGTCTCGCGATTAGCACCCGAAAAAAAAAAAAAAGGTTCCCGGTCGAGGCATGAGCATGCCGCCGGCACGTCCACAGTTTGAGGATAGGGGAACGCCCTGTAGATATGCAGGGTAGCCGCGAAATAAGCCATACCCTTCGGGATTGGACGAATAGGCGGTCACAGACAAGCTCACCATCTCCGGGGAACTCCCCTGGACTACATCGACCTACCCCTGGGCTTAACTGACTGGAGATAGGAAGCCTGAGCATGCCTTTCGCTGACGAAAAACCGGCTCCCTTAACCCCCAACTCGTCAAGGGGGTCTCTTGGCACGGAGGTAGTTACGTGTCTACGAGGACCCTGTGGGGCACCTGGTGCCTCCCACAGTATCGAGCCTTCCCCGTGGTACGCTGAACTACCACGGGGCGACGACCCTTTCACGCCCACTCGTGGGAACTATATGGAGAAAAAGAAAGAAAAAAACCCAGGATCACCGACTGGTAAATTGGTGAGTGGGAGTCAAGCCGCACAAGGACAAATGGCATCAGGCAATAATACCAGCCCCACTGTGGCAAACGAACCAAGCGCAGAAAAAAGAGACACTAAGAGAACAATTGATGTAAGCGCGCTTAACGAAGAAGAGTTACTGAGCATGATCAATGGGTATATCAATTCGATGACAAATTTTGCCAATAAAACACGAAATGTGCATAAGGAACTAAAAGATACCATAGCTAACACGGGAATAGTTCTTAAACGATACACGAAGTTAAAAACTCTACACCTAAAGGAAAAAGGACCAAGAGCACAAGTACTCAGACAGAGGATGTACCCATCGATGACACGCAGTCGGAGAACAAGAAGGAGATGACCGCAGATGTCTCCACGGACACCCCTTGTTGGTCGTCTACCGTATCGGAGAGGGAGCCCAGCTCATTGACAAACCGATTACACAAACACAGGCCAAAGCAAAGCGAAGAAAACCATGAGAACTGCGAAGATTACCACACTATGAAACAGAAAGAAATGAAAACTCCAAAAGAAAATACCGAGACTATGAAACCAAGACCCTTTCTTCCCAGAAGGAAACAGGCTGTAATTCTTGATCGATTTAAAGGAAAGGTAACATACGCTGACATGGTCAGAGAAGTTAAAAAAACGGCCCTCGATGAAAATCTATTATTCGAAATAACAATCAGGAAAGCCAAATCGGGAAACGTTACCTTAGAAATTCCGAGCAAAGAACAGGCTGACTCACTAGCTGAATTTCTAAAAGGAAAGCTTGGGGAGACTGCAAGTATCAGACGTCCTTCACCTAGTGTCCTATTCCTTATGGGAGTAGAGGATTCAGTTGAAGAAACTGAATTAAGAAAAACCCTGGAAGCCTTTGACAACGAACTCAAGGAAATAAAAAACGTTGTTATTAGAGAAAGCAAAAATTAACTTAGAACAGCGATCATTCGTGTTCCACAGAAAGCAGGACACAGACTAATCGAACTCAAAAAACTTTGACGCGGTCCCGCTGTGGTGCGGGTACAATAAGTACACCACTATCGCGGAGCCGCGCCCGCTTTCTACCCAGCCTCAACCCGGGCAACGACAACACCGTTTCCGACATTACCCACTTACCTCGGAAAACTGGGCAGAGGTGGGAAAAGTTATCGGAACCGGTGGCAACGTACCGACCGGTCGCCTCAAGTGACCAACCTTTTGGCTTGTGACCGTTGTCGAAGCATAAGTCTCTGTACATTTTCTTGCGCTTAGCAACGGTTAGCACCGTCGCCAATTTTATATAGATTTTATATTTTGTTTTGTGGTTGTTTTTTGTGCACATTATAATAATCAAATATTCAATCATATTGTGTTCATTTGACTTTATTTCCAAATTCACCATAACACCACCACTCAAACTAAACCGGTAACCTCACCGAGGGACGAAAAATCCATACCAGCTTTAGGCCGTGTCAATTTAAAATAGGCTGGAGAATGTGCCGAATCAAGGAATACGACGCACGAGACAGGCGTGCAACAAGTGCCGCGAAAAAGGGCATTCTGCCAAAGATTGTTTGGGACCCGAAAGAAGGAAGTGCTTTAGATGCAACGAGACAGGGCACATAATATATAAATTGCACACAAATCGGAAAGCCGATACCAACGGTGGTCTCCGACAAAGAGATCGCCAGCGAATCAACTCAATGATTAAGATACTACAGATTAACGTAGATGGCGGTCGAGTCGCATAGGGACCTAACCTAAGACGGGACCTAGAGGTCAAGATGGAAAAGGCGTTGGAGCCAGAAGTGATGGTGGACTTGATGCTGAAAAACCGAAACAACTGGAACGCGGTCGGAGAGTTTGTCAATTGTATATTTTTAAAGAGGGAAGAAGAGGAAAGAGAACGCCAAAGGGCAGAAAGATACATGATATTACCGTAGTTAGAAATTTGTAATAGGCCGAAGGCCACAGCAGGAGGGATAGAGCCCCCCAAACTATTGTAAATACTACTAAGATGTAAGATGTTGATTATTTAAATTCCAATAAATGATGTAGATGTAGAGGGAAGGATGACCTATAAGGCAAAGTTCCCCTCTACAGCGCCATAATTATAACACACAAAAAAAAAAAAAGGTTAAGATAGTTTAGGTTAGGGTTCCCTCTTGTGGAACTCACCTTGCCATGATGAGGGGGCTTGCGTTCCTCCACAGTCCGGAGAGCTATTCCAATGGTAGTAGCCTTCTACCAGCAGGGTCACTCATGTTGGATAGGTCGAAGGACTGAGGACAGACGAAGAAGTTCCAAGGGCAGGGTGGGCTCTTCAGCCTTGGCTGGCAGCCGTCCTAGGTGAAGGTAACACTGATAACAAATCCCCCTGGCGGCAGGACTAAAACGTAAGGGAGAGGCACCCTTTAAAAAACTCTTTATGTAAGTCAAAAACGGAAATAATATTACCACACAAGGGGAGTCGGACCCCCAGGTGTCGGCAGCCGGGAGTGAGCAAGCGTGCTCCCGGGGGCCATCAATGACCGCAGGACTCCAGGGGTGGACAGCCAGGCCCTTGACAGTCTTAATATTACTAATGCTGGAACAGCCACGTCTTCAGGCACGCGAGCATCCCAAGTGGTAGGCTCGCACCCTCTACAGATGAGTCGCATCGAAGCAGAGGTGAAATACAGCAAACTTCTGGACTCCATACTATAAAAATGGAATTTATATTTTAACAGAGTTATCAGTCATAAATGATGTTTCAGAAAGAGGCGTTAAGTTAATTCAATAATATACTGACCAAAGACGAAAATCAAAAACAATTTCTACTACAAGTTGTATATGATTATACAAAAAATTACCCTGACTGTAAAAAAAATACATTAATTCGTTCATAATTAATAGATATTTTATTTGAATATAACGCATCTAATTTTCACATTGTATTACTCCATTGAACCACTACCTATTTATTTTTAATGACATCAATATTTAATATGTACTTGTGTAGATGAACGACTTTTTTTTAAGATTAAGTTTTTCACAGAAAATAATAGATTTACGAGAAATTTTATCTGAATATTTTTTATAGAGAATACCTAAATCTACAATTTAGGTTCTATACAATTTTATACTAAATGCAATATATAATGAATTAAATCAGAATAATACTAAAACTACCATATTTGTTGAATATTCAACCCTCTTGCGGCACCTGAAAGGGGTTATTAATCATCACCAAATTTAACCCACATAACTTTCGCATGGTAATGAAAAAATTGGGTGGGTGAGAAATCAAAAATATTTAACTTTCTTAACCCCCCTACTATATAAGGGCCACCCTAATATATATAGAATAAATAATTATAAAAATTTTAGATTATTATTGTGCATTGCAACTACAATTGGCGAAGAAATAAAAATTAAGGATCATTCAGAACACTTTAGCATTGAAAGCTTCGATATCAACAAGCCAGGTTATTATTTTGAAAATTATGTACCAACAAGGTTAGTAGGGGCGAATATACGTTAATGGCATATCTAGAATATAATGAAAAATATGAATATTTGAAAAAAAGTATAAATGAATTAAATGAAAATTGTAAGAAAGATGATAAACATAGACTTATTTGTAGTAAATTCGATAATATTATTACTGGAATGTTTACTGAGATATCTATGCAGAGAGAAAATATTATTATATCATTAGGAAGAAATGAAATTAAAAGAGAGAAACGGGGAGCTATAAATATTATAGGAAACGCGTTACACGTATTATTTGGAGTTAGTGATGATGAATGTACTAAAATGTAAACAGGGCGTTAATTGAACAACAGAAGAATAGTGGGAATGTTCTACATTTGATGAAGAAACAAACAACTTTAGTAAAAACAGCAATGCAACGATGAGTTCTAGTCACGGAACATCAAGCAACTTCACGTCACTCTGTATCAGAATTTTTGTTAACACTTTGAGTTATAAAATAAATGTATTAAACGTATTAAAAGTCTCATGTTTATTAAAATTAAATACATCTTCGACGGCAATACTTGAAATCGAGTCGGTGGCACGTAACACATCCAAGAATGTGTCGTAGTCGTGCCTATCGTCGTTTCTACTGTTGTAGCAACTGAATACCACGGTATCACGACACCTGATCCATGCGATACCATGGCGTGCGCCTCGATCCTCTATCACCATGTTTGCGGACGGCATGATCATGATTGCACTTTTGCCGTCGCTGCTAGCAGCCCATCGACTACTGTCGGCTGGGTTCCAATTTTGCTCCGACACGAGAACTATTGATGCCCCTCTCTCCGTTGCGGTCTGGGTCATCAAGTTCT